GCTGCCCTCCTGGGAAACAGTGAGCCTTACAAAACTGTCCCAACCCACCGACGGAAAGATCCACTTAAGAGCCCACGCCACCAGAGGCCCTTGGGTCTCAATCAGGGAGCTGCGCAGATTCTCAACAGCCACTTGGCCTAAGCCTGCCTGAGTTCCCAGGGAGGAGAGGCAGCTATCACACCACTGTCTGCCATCTAAGCCATCTGGAGCCCTTTAGGGGAGGCAGCTGTAACACGGGCGTGGGAGCCCCCTGCAGGAACTCAACTCCACCCAGGGGCTTGGTGCAAATTCACAGTCTCCCTGGACCTCAGGCCCTAGGGGAGGGCTGCCCATAGTCCTCCTCCGCTGACCAATGGACTTAGTCTTTCCTCCTGCTAGCTCTGAGAATCCAGGCCGGCTATGAAGTGGTTGGTTTGCCTTTCAGGCTGCATGTGATTCTCTCTCCAAGGTTTGAAAGTAAATGCCTGTTGAAAATGACTCTTTCAGTTCAATAGTTGAACCTGTTTTGGGCATGCCAGATCTTTCTGGTTTTCATGTTTCTCTCTTGTTGCCTCGGCAGGATCATAATTCAAGATGAGAGGCCTTGTTTGCCACGACATTGTTCTTGCAGACCTTGCAATAAAACATCCAGTGAACTGAACCAGTTGAATGGGACTTGAGCGTTCTTCCATGGCGAGGTGTGTAACTCAGTTCAGAAGACTTTAAACTCATGAAAAAAATTTTGCAAGGATATTATCATCAGACCTTGTGCCACCATTCTCAGGTGTCAACGGCGCATAAATGACTGATTACAATCAGAGTATAGGCGTGCGCTCAAATGGTTGGCTCCAGCATTGAGGAAACACAGTGCATGCCTCTAGATAATAATTCTATCTCTCCATAGGGCACAGAACTGGACAGAGGATGAGATGGATGAATTCACAGAAGTAGAGGCTTCAGAAGGGGGTAATAGCAAGAGCTTGGCACAGGTAAAGGAGGCGAAAAGAATTACAAACCTTAAAAAAGTTAGAGTTGCTCAGCTAGAATAACCAGTTTAGAGATGTACATAAATGACCTGATGGGCTGAAAACCACAACAAAGAGAACTTTTGTGAAGCATATACAAGTATCAATGGCCAATCAGTCAAGTAGAAGAAAGAATATCAGAGATGAAGACTATCTTGCTGAAATAAGGCAGACAAGATTAGAGAAAAAAGAATAAAAGGAATGAACAAAGACCTCCAAAAGAAATCACTGGAACTATATAAGAAAAAAAAAAAAAAAAGAACCTGGAAACCAGTTGGAGTACCTGAAAAAAAAAAAAGGATAATGGAACCAGAGTTTGAAGCACTAGCCAGGATATTGTCAGGAGAACTTCCCCAACCTGACCCAAACGAGCCTTGTTCAGATTTGAGGATTACAGAGAACTCCACTAAGATACTCCACAAGAAGATCAACCCCAAGACACATAATCATTAGATTCTCCAGGTCAAATAGAAGGAAAAAATGTTATAGGCGCAGCCAGAGAGAAAATTCAGGTTGCAAGGGAAGCCCATCCAGACAAAAGAAAAGAAAAGAAAAGAAAAGAAAAGAAAAGAAAAGAAAAGAAAGAAAGCTCAATGTATAAACAGACTACAAAAGTCTTCATACATGTAATAACATTCATACTACAACCACAAGACAACACACCTAGCAGTACATTTAACAAAATTAGTGTAGAACTAAATGGTGGCAGGGGGAAAAGTGAGGGATACAAAAGCTAATTAACCAAGTAAAAAGATATATTATGTTTATGAACAGGAAGAGTCTACATCATAAAGATGCCAATTCTCCCTAAGTCAGTGAAGTGCTTTAATATCATCCTATGAAAGCAACACATTCTCAGATATTGATAAGCCAGAAGAACACTTATGTGGAAAATTAAACAAGAATAGACAGTGTGTGGTAGGTTATATTTCTGTTCACCTAAAACCTGGTCCTTCCTCCCTGTATTAGTCAGCTGTGTCTGCCATAACACATTCCACAGACTGGGTGACTTAACAGAATTTTTTTTTTTTTTTTTTTTTTTTTTTGAGACAGAGTATCACTCTGTTGCCCAGGCTGGAGTGCAGTGGCCGGATCTCAGCTCACTGCAAGCTCCGCCTCCCGGGTTTACGCCATTCTCCTGCCTCAGCCTCCCGAGTAGCTGGGACTACAGGCACCTGCCACCTTGCCTGGCTAGTTTTTTTTTTTTTTTTTTTTTTTTTTTTTTTTTCAGTAGAGACAGGGTTTCACCATGTTAGCCAGGATGGTCTCAATCTCCTGACCTCGTGATCTGCCGGTCTCAGCCTCCCAAAGTGCTGGGATTACAGGTTTGAGCCACTGCGCCCGGCCTTAACAGAAATTTTGTTGCTCACAATTCTGGAGGCTGAAAAGTCCAAGATCAAGGTGCCAGGCAAATCACTTCCTAATGAGGTCTCTCCTCCTGGTTTACAGATGACATAGCCTTCTTGATATGTCCTCACATAGCAGAGATAGATAGATCTCTCTCTTCCTCTTCTTATAAGACCATCAATCCTACTGGCTTAAAGGTCTCAACTCTTATGACCTCACAAGAGGTCACATGGGTGCCCTCCTAAAGGGTACCTTCATAAAAGGGCAGCCACACTGGTAGTCAACATAACCAACATGTAGACATGTAGTCAGCAAGTCTACATAACCAAACCATAATAAAAACTTTGAACACAGACTCAAATGAGATCCTTGTGTTGTCAATGTCTTGTGGGTGCTGATATGTATTGTTGGCAGAAACAGACAATGACCAAGAGGTTCCACTAAGAGCAAACAATTGAAATTTGTGCCAAGTGGTTCATAGATCCTGCCCTATGCACCCTGTTCCTTGGTTAATTTTAGTTGATCTTTTCATAGTAATAAATCATAACTATGAGTGCAAAGCCTTTTCTAAGTTCTTAATTCCTTCTAGGATTACCGAACCTGTGGGTTTTCTGGGGACCCCCAAATTTGCAGCTGTTATCAGAAGAATCATAGCCTTGGGGACATCTAAACCTCTTACAGAAAAGAACAACGTAGAGATAAGCATACCAAGGGTGTACAGTGATAAAATTGTCACACACACACACAAAAAGATAACAGAAATCTGGGTAAATACAAATAAAGAAAACAATGGAAATGGTAGATATTTGAGTAAACATATACATTGATCTTATTTCGGACCTCGTTAAAAAGTCACTGACCTTTTGAAGCAAGAAAATAATGTATTGTGGAGTTTATAACATGTAAGAGTAAAAAGTATAAGCATGGAAGCTGGGAAGAGCTAAAGGGAAGCATCTTATAAAGTTTGTATAGTATATATGAAATGGCATAATACTACTTGAAGGTAGCCTATAAGTCAAACATGAATATGATGAACCATAAAACAACCATCAGGCCAGGCGCAATGGCTCATGCCTGTAATCCCAGCACTTTGGTAGGCCAAGGAGGGAGGATCACTTGAGGCCAGGAGTTGGAGACAAGCCTGAGCAACATAGTGAGATCCTGTCTCCACATAAAAATTTAAAAATCGAAACAAAAAAAAAATTCAAAAAATTTACAACCAATAATCCAAGAAAGGCACTCATAGGTCATATAAAAAGAGAAAGTGGGCTAAATCTGGCATGGTAGCCATAATTTGCATATTTCTATTCTGTATGAATTGCTCCTGTGGAAGAAAGACTTGACTTGGTGTAGTTAAAAAGAGAGAGAGAGAGAGAGAGAGAGACAGAGAGAATGAGATGGACAATCTGAAGCAAAGTCTAGAGTACAGAAGATGTACGTGTGACACAGATAGAAAATATTAAATAGAGACAATAGACTTTTTTTTTTTTTAGACAGGGTCTCACTCTGTTGCCCAGGCTGGAGTACAGTGGTGCTATCTTGGCTCACTGCAATCTCCACCTCCCAGGTTCAAGCGTTTCTCCTGCCTCAACCTCTTGAGTAGCTGGAACTACAGGCATGCACCACCACACCTGGCTAATTTTTGTATTTTTTGGTAGAAACGGGTTTCACCATGTTGGTCAGGCTGGTCTCAAACTCCTGGCCTCAAGTGATCCACCCACCTCGACCTCCCAAAGTGCTGGGATTACAGGTGTAAACCACCATGTCCAGTCAGATTTTATAACATAAAAAACTTAAAAGTGCAGCGGGGAGGGGTGCCAAGATGGCCAACTAGAAGCAGTCGCAATTGGAGGCTCCCACTAAAAAGATCCAAAGTAGCATGCAAATCCTGCACGGGCAACCGAAATATCCAGATTCTGTCATTAGGACTGGCTAGGTGGCTGGCATGACCCAATCAGAGAAAAGAAGAGCAGTGTGGTGTGGCAGCCCACCTGAAAGTGACAAGGGGCAGGGGAGCCCCCACTCCCAGCCAAGGGAGGTGGTGAGTGAGAGTGCTACCCTCCCTGGGAAACAGTGCTTCTTCCACAAAACTGTGCAACCCACCGATCGGAAGATCCCACTTGGGAGCCCACGCCACTGGGGCCTTGGGTCTCAATCAGGGAGCTGCGCAGATTCTCAACAGCCACTTGGCCTAAGCCTGCTGAGTTCCCAGGGAGAGGGGCAGCTATCACCACTGTCTGCCATCTAAGCCATCTGCGACCCTTGGGGGAGGGGCAGCTGCCAACACTGTAGCTGCAGGGCCCCCCTGCAGGAACTCCAACTCCACCCAGGGGCTTAGGTACAGAATTCTGATCTCCCTGGACCTGAGCCCCTAGGGGGAGGGCTGCCCATAGTCTCCGCTGACCAGCGGACTTAGTCTTTCCTCCTGCTAGCTCTGAGGAATCCAGGCAGCCCAGATGAGTGGGTTTCCCCCAAGTGCAGCAAACCTCCTCCACCAAGGGACAGCCAAAGTGCTATGTTAAATGTGACCCCAACTGGGTCAGACCCCCCAACAGGAGCTATCAGATATCCTATACAGGAGCCTTCCTACTGGCATCATGTTGGTGCCCCTCAAGGTCAGAGATTCCAGATAAAGGAGCATGCACCCACCTTGGCTGTTCTGCAGGCTTGAGTGACATCTCCAGGTGTGAGAGCAAACCAGATGAATAGGAGCTGAAGTGAACCCCCAGCAAACTGCAGTAGCCCTACAGAAGAGGAACCTGACTATTGAAAGAAAAAAAAAAAAAAAAAAAAGGAACAATAGCATCAACAAAACAAGAACCACAAAAACCTCATCCAAGGGTCAGCAGCCTCAAAGATCGAAACTAGACAAACTCATGAAGATGAGAAAGAGTCAACATAAAAACAATCTAACTCAGCATTAGAGAAGAGAACACAGTGCCTCTTCTCTAGATGATTGCAACATCTCTCCAGCAAGGGCACAGAACTGGACAGAGGATGAGATGGATGAATTCACAGAAGTAGGCTTCAGAAAGAGGGTAATAACAAAACTTCGCTGAAGTAAAGAAGGCAAAGAAATTACAAACCTTAAAAAAAAGTTAGAGGAGTTGCTAGCTAGAATAACCAGTTTAGAGATGTACATAAATGACCTGATGGAGCTGAAAAACACAACAAGAGAACTTTGTGAAGCATATACAAGTATCAATAGCCCAATCGATCAAGTAGAAGAAAGAATATCAGAGATGGAAGACTATCTTGCTGAAATAAGGCAGGCAGACAAGATTAGAGAAAAAAGAATAAAAAGGAATGAACAAAACCTCCAAGAAATATGGAACTATGTAAAGAAAAAAAAAAAAAAAGAACCTAAAACTGATTGGAGTACCTGAAAAAAAAAAAAAGGATAATGGAACCAAGTTGGAAAACACACTTCAGGATATTATCCAGGAGAACTTCCCCAACCGAGCAAAACAGGCCAACATTCAAATTTAGGAATTACAGAGAACTCCACTAAGATACTCCACAAGAAGATCAACCCCAAGACACATAATCATTAGATTCTCCAAGGTCAAAATGAAGGAAAAAATGTTATGGGCAGCCAGAGAGAAAGTTCAGGTTACCTACAAAGGGAAGCCCATCAGACTAACAGGGGATCCCTCAGCAGAAACCCTTACAAGCCAGAAGAGAGTGAAGGCCAATATTCAACATTCTTAACGAAAAGACTTTTTTCAACCAAGAATTTCATGTCCAGCCAAACTATGCTTAATAAGGGAAGGAGAAATAGAATCTTTTTCAGATAAGCAAATGCTGAGGGACTTCCTCACCACCAGGTATGCGTTGCAAGAGCTCCTAAAGGAAACACTTAATATGGAAAAGAAAAACCGGTACCAGCCATGGCAAAACACACAAAAATGTAAAGACCAATGACACTATGAAGAAACAACATCAACTAGTGTGAAAAAATAAATAACCAGCTAGCATCATGATGACAGGATCAAATTCACACATAACAACATTAACCCTAAATGTAAATAGACTAAATGCCCCAATTAAAAGACAAAAACTGGCAAATTGGATAAAGTCAAGACCCATCAGTGTGCTGTATTCAAGAGACCCAGCTCATGTGCAAAGACACACATAGGTTCAAAACAAAGGGATGGAGGAAAATTTACAAAGCTAATGGAAAGCAGAAAAAAGCAGGGGTTGCAATCAGAGACAGACTTTAAACTAACAAACACCAAAAAAGACAAAGAAGGACATTATATAATGGCAAAGAGATAAATTCAACAAGAAGGAAAGCTAACTATCCTAAATATACATGTAACCAATATGGGAGTACCCAGATTCATAAAATGAGTTCTTACAAACCTACAAAGAGATTTAGACTCTCACACAATAATACTGGGAGACTTTAACATCCCACTGTCACTATTAGACAGATCAATGAGACAAAATTAAAAGGATATGGCAAGGTGCAGTGGTTTATGCCTGTAATCCCAGCACTTTGGGAGGATGAGGCAGGCAGATCATGAGGTCAGGAGCTCAAGACCAGCTTGACCAACATGGTGAAACACTGTCTCTACTAAAAATACAACAATTAGCAGGCGGGTGGTGGGTGCCTGTAATCCCAGCTACTCAGGAGGCTGAGGCAGGAGAATCACTTTAACCTGGGAAATGGAGGCTGCAGTGGGCCAAGGTGGTGCCACTGCACTCCAGCCTGGACAACAGAGTGAGACTCTGTCTAAAAAAAAAAAAAAGGAAAAGAAAATTAAAAGGATATTCAGAACTTGAACTCAACTCTGGATCAAGTGGACCGAATAGATATCTACAGAACTCCCCACCCCAAAACAACAGAATATATATTATTCTCAGTGTCACACGGCACTTACTCTAAAATTGGCCACATAATTAGAAGTAAAACACTCCTCAGCAAATGCAAAAGAACTGAAATTACAACAGTGTGTCAGACCACAGTGTAATCAAATTAGAACTCAGGATTAAGAAACTCAAAACCACACAACTACATGGAAATTGAACAACCTGCTCCTGAAAGATTCCTGGACAAATAATGAAATTAAGGCAGAAATCAAGAAGTTATTTGAAACCAGTGAGAACAAAGAGACAACATACCAGAATCTCTGGGACACAGCTAAAGCAGTGTTAAGAGGGAAATTTATAGCCCTAAATGCCCACATCAGAAAGCTAGAAAGATCTCAAATCAACACCCTAACATCCCACTTAAAAGAACTAGAGAAGCAAGAGCAAACAAACCCAAAAGCTAGCAGAAGACAAGAAATAACTAAGATCAGAGTACAACTGAAGGAGAGAGAGACATGAAAAACCCTTCAAAAAAATCAATGAATCCAGGAGCTGGTTTTTTGAAAAGATTAACAAAATAGATAGACCACTAGTTAAACTAACATAGAAGAAAAGAGAGAAGAAACAAATAGACACAATAAAAAAAGATAAAGGGGATATCACCACTGATCCCACAGAAATACAAACCACTGTCAGAGAATACTGTAAACACTTCTATACAAATCAACTAGAAAATCTGGAAGAAATTGGTAAATTCCTGGACACATACACCCTCCCAACACTAAACCAGGAAGAAGTTGAATCCCTGAATAGACCAATAGCAAGTTCTGAAATTGAGACAGTAACAAATCGCCTACCAAGCAAAAAAAGCCCAGGACCAGATGGATTCACAGCTGAATTCTACCACAGGTACAAAAAATCAGTAACGTTCCTTCAGAAACTGTTTCAAACAATTGAAAAAGAGGGACTCTTCCCTAACTCATTTTATGAGGCTAGCATCATCCTGATGCTAAAACCTGGCAGAGACACAACAAAAAAAGAAAATTTCAGGCCAATATCCCTGATGAACATCAATGCAAAAATCCTCAATAAAATCCTGGCAAACTGAATACAGCAGCACATCAAAAAGCTTATTCACCACGATCAAGTCGGGTTCATCCCTGGGATACAAGGCTGGTTCAACACATGCAAATCAATTAATGTAATCCATCACATAAACATAACCAGTGACAAAAACCACACGATTATCTCAAAAGATGCAGAAAAGGCCTTCAATAAAATTCAACATCCCTTCATGTTAAAAACTCTCAATAAACTACAAATTGATGGAATATATCTCAAAATAATAAGAACTATTTATGACAGACCCACACCCAATATCATACTGAATGGGCAAAAGCTGGAAGCATTCAAACTGGCACAAGACACGGATGCCCTCTCTCACTACTCCCATTCAACACAGTATTGGGAGTTCTGGCCAGGGCAATCAGACAAGAGAAAGAAATAAAGGGTATTCAAATAGGAATAGAGAAAGTCAAATTGTCTATTCATGGATTGTATTTAGAAAACCTATTTTTAGAAAACTCAAAAGCTTCTTAAAGCTTCTTAAGCTGATAAGCAACTTAAGGTCTCAGGATACAAAAGGAATGTGCAGAACTCACAAGCATTCCTATATGCCAACAATAAACAAGCAGAGAGCCAAATCATGAATGATTTCCCATTCACAAATACTACAAGGAGAATAAAATACCTAGGAATACAGCTAAAAAGGGACATGAAAGACCTCTTCAAGGAAAACTACAAATCACTGCTCAAGGAAATCAGAGAGGACACAAACAAATGGACAAACATTCCATCCTCATGAATAGGAAGAATCAGTATCACAAAAATGGCCATACTGCCCAAAGTAATTTATAGATTCAATGCTATTCCCATCAAACTACCATGGGTATTCTTCACATAATTAGAAAAAAAGACTTTGAATTTCAAATGGAATCAAAGCAATACAACCTTGTTTTACTGTGCTTCACTTTACTAGGATTGACAGATACTGAGTTTTCCACAAATTGAAGGTTTTTAGCAACCATGTGGGGAAGTCTATCAGCACCATTTTCTAACAGCATGTACTCATTTCATCTCACAATATTTAAAGATTTTTTACTGTTATTATATCCCTTATGGTGATCTGTGATCAGTACTGTTTTCTTTTCTTTTTTTCTTTTCTTTTCTTTCTTTTTTTTTTTTTTTTTTTGAGATTGAGTCCAAGCCGGAGTGCAGTGGCACAATCTCGGCTCACTGCAACCTCTGCCTCCGGGTTCAAGCTATTCTCCTGCCTCAGCCCCCCAAGTAGCTAGGACTATGGGCACCCACCACCACGCTCAGCTAATTTTTGTATGTAGAGATGGGGTTGTACCATGTTGCCCAGGCTGGTCTCGAACCCCTGACCTCAGGTGATCCACCCACCTCGACCTCCCAAAGTGCTGGGATTAGAGGCGTGAGCCACCGTGTCCAGCCAATGTGATGAGTGCTTTTTGATGTCACTATTATAATTGTTTGAGTGGAGGGTGCTACAAATCACTCTCATATAAAACAACAAACCTAAGTGATGAATGTTGTCCATGTTCTGACTGCTCCATGGACTGGCCATTCCCCTGCCTCTCTCTCCCTTCAACTCCCTGATTCCCTGTGTAGCAGGACGAGCCACAGACAAAACTCCTGAGACACCAAGTAAAAGAAGGAAGGGATTTATTCGGCCAGGGGCATCAGCAAGACTCCTGTCTCAAGAGCTGAGCTCCCTGAGTGAGCAGTTCCTGTCCCTTTTAAGGGCTCACAACTCTAAGGGGGTGCATGTGAGGGGGTCATGATTGAGCAAGCAGGGGGTACATGGGGGTACATGACTGGGGGCTGCATGCACTGGTAATTAGATTGGAACAAAACAGGACAGGGATTTTCACAGTGCATTTCTATACAATGTCTGTAATCTATAGTTAGGTCAGGGGTTGATCTTTAACTACCAGGCCCAGGGTGCGGTGCTGGGCTGTCTGCCTGTGGATTTCATTTCTGCCTTTTAGTTTTTACTTCTTCTTTTTTTGGAGGCAGAAATTGGGCATAAGATGATATGAGGGGTGGTCTCCTCCCTTATTCCCCTCTTTTGAGACTCTCACTCATTTTATTAGTGGGAGTTCTCACTTTCATTTTTACTACCTATGTCTTCTTGCAAGACAGATCAATAGTGATTCATACAGTACACTTGTACTGAAGCATTTTGGTGAACTAAGGTAGCGATGAAGCTTTTTACCATTTGAAGAAGTACAGGTAACAAACAAGGGAGCAGTAGGCAGACTCCTATTATTATTATAACACCTACTATAAGAGTTTTAAATCCTCCTAGCGCTGGGAACATGGCCCCAGGATCAAATCGATGCCACATTTGCATGGGCACATGTGCCAATTTTATCATATCTCTAATTATGTCTTCAACTACTTGCCCTCAATCATCTATTTGTAGACAGCAATTAGTAAGGCTAAATTCCCCACAGACCCCTCCTTCAGCTGCTAGCAAGTAGTCAAGAGCCAATCTATTTTGACAGCATTTCTCATCTGAGTTTCTTGACGGGCCAGAATAGTCAAGGCTCTGCCAGTTTTATTAGTGATTATTTCTAAGACAGCTTGTAACCATATGATTTGGTTGATCATGTAAATGGGGGTCCAGTATCTTCATGAGCCGTCTTGTGCCTAAGTAGTAGGCCTATAATACTGTATGATTCTCTCAGGGGGCCATTCATCGCGTTTCCAATTTCCTATAGCTATGCTTCTCTTTTTGTGGGAAACATAGACAGGGAAACCTAGGAGTTCACCTGTTTTCATGGGCAGTAAGAAGAAAGATGGTTTAATAGTGCCAATAACACAACTGCCTGCCCACTGGTCAGGTAATTTGGCATAAGCTTTATGCCCACATATCCAATATAATCCAGTGGGGGCTGTCCAGTCCTGGTAGGACTCTAGGTGGGTCCACACGGTTTAGAATTTGGGAATTTGCTAAATGAATTCCTCTCTGTTTGATTTGAACTCCACCAAGTGACTGTTTTTGTGGTATCACTATACAGTTTCTGTCTCAGACAACTAAGTCATCCTATGGGGTCAGTGAATCTTCTCCTTATCTAGCTATGCAATACTGTGCAATAATTGAGGCTTTTAGGACCTAGACATTATCAGGGTGATTCTTTTGAGCTGGGAATTCATCAGGAACTGGATCTGTAGGTACTAATTCTTGGGCTTCCTATGGCCATTGATCTCCCATTATAGTTCCTCCACATATGTAACGTGAAGTGACACTGAGCGACTGTGCTACATGCTCAGCTAATTGCAAAAACAAATTTCTTGTTTTTCCTGGAATTTCTGGTATTGGTACTTTTAGTTCATCATAGAAAGTTTGAAACACTGGTTCAGGAGAGCGTTTGTAAACGGAGAGCGTTTGTAAACTTCTCCTCGAACCAAGCTATTTACTCGAGGATCCAGTCCAGCCCCATTGATTCCTAAGGTCACACACTATCCTTTTTTCCAGTAAGGATCAAGGGGATTGGTTATTACTAGCTCTAAGGGGTTACATTGTCCTTTAGTAAAGAAGGGCCATTTTTTCCTTTCTGAAGGTGGACTAGATCCTTTTCACTTTTTATCCAAGTGGACTAAATGACACAAGACCAGTATCCACATTCATTTCCACACAGTCCTAATTCATGACAAATGGACTGATTGTCAGCCATACAGCCTTTTTCCCAACTAAAAGAGCCACATTCCCTTCCTAACTTACTGCTACTAATGACAGCATAGAAATCAAATTTCAAGATTATGAGTTTGGGCACCCCTTTTTTTCTGTTCTGGCTAATACTTTACTTGTATCATTTATAAGTCCTCACCAGTCTTCAGCCCTTAATCTTATTTCAAAAACTGTGGACATGGGAAGCTCAGAAGGGTCATAACACACATCCAGTCAGTCGTTTCCTGGGCTACATACCTTGTACTGAGTGTCATTATATAAACATGTTCCTTTTAAAGTTCCTAGGCATTCATAGTAACTATAGAACAGAAAGATTGTTTTAACTTGTTGCCTTACCTCGGTAACCTGATGTATACACTGAGAGCAGTCCTCCGTGCAGGGAAAATCAGTGGAAGTTTTTACTATACAAGTCCAAATTATAAGGAAAATGAGTCCTACATTGATTTTCCTCATGCTTCTGCTGTGTGTAGACCAGTCAGTTTCCAGGTGTGACTGGAGCAGGGTTTGCCGTCCTCCTCAGAGTCACTTTGCAGGAGTTGTCCGGGCTCGGTTTTGCCTCCTAGGTTTCATCGGCTGCAGGTCTCACATGGCTGTGGTGGATCCAGGCTGGGATTCCTTCTACCTTTACAGCCATGGGGGTGGTCAGGATGACAGTCTGAGGTCTTTTCCACCATGGCCACAAAGGGGCTACATTCCAGTCCTTGATCCACACATGATCACCTGGAGAGAAAGGGTGAACTGGGGAGAATAAGTTGATGGACACCTCTCATTTACCTAAGTTGGGATTGTTTGTGTAATTTTTCCTAAAGCCTATAGCTGTCGCTGTAATTCAACTTCACCTAACTCGGGAAGTGCCTGGAAGCTCCCATAGTATAGGAGGAGGCCTATGATACAGTATTTCATAAGGGGGAGTATCCTGTTTTCTTAGAAAGAGTGCATCTAATTTTAAACAATACCATAGGAAGGACCTGTATCCACTTTAATCCTGTTTCCTGACATACTTTCCCTAAACTATTTTTGATGGTCCGATTCATTCACTCCACCTTTCCAGAACTCTGAGGTCAGTAGGCATATAGCTTCCAAGTGATTCCTAATGCCTTTGCTGTCTTCTGTACCAAGTCAGCCACAAACGCCGGCCTGTTATCTGAGCTGATTCATAAGGGCAGTCCAAACCTAGGAATAAGATCTCAGAGAAGCACACAGGTTACCTCATAGGCCTTTTCAGTTCGTGTGGGATAAGCCTCCACCCACCCAGAGTAAGTACACACAAGAACCAGCAAATACTTGTGACCTCCACATTTCGACATTTCTGTGAAATCCAACTGAAGATCTTCAAAAGGAGCCGCTCCATAAGCTTATATACTAGGTGGAATGCTGGGGCCTTGCCTCACATTGTGCTGTTGGCAAGTAACACACAGTTGTGCTACTGCTTTGGCAAGGGCTGGCAAGTGTGAGACATAGAAGTACCGGTCTAACAATTTTTCAAGTGACTCTTGACCTAGATAAGTGGTTTCATGCACAGCCAATACGACTGGTGCTCCTAGCAACTGCAGCACAGCTACCCCAGCATCTGGCAGTCTGATCCATCCTCCTTTTATTACTTGCCCCCCTTCTGCTTGGAAGAAGCCTTTTTCTTCCTTAGAATAGGTAGGTACCAGGTCAGGTGTTTGAGGGAGTAAGGGGGCTACTACCGATACCTGGTAAGGGGTAGATGCTGCTTTTCGAGCTTCTGAATCAGCTCGAGAGTTTCCTAAGGTCACTGAGGTGGAGGCTTGCTGGTGTCCCCTGCAGTGCATGACTGCCACCTTCTGAGGTTTCCACACTGCCTCTAATAATTGTAGAATTTCTTGTTGATATTTTATGTCCTTTCTCCCAGAGTTTAACAGACCCTTTTCCTTATACAATACTCCTTGCACTTGGAGGGTTAGAAAGGCATCTCAAGAGTCAGTGTAGATGTTTACAGTCTTACCTTCACTGAGTTCTAGAGCCTGAGTTAAAGACTCAGCTTTCTGGGCTGAAGTGCCCTGTGGCAAGGGTTTGGCTTCAATGACAACATCCAAAGTTACCACTGCATATCCTGCACATCTTTCCCCTTGTGCGTTAATGAAGCTGCTCCCATCCACGTATAACTCTCAGTCTACTGATGCCCATGGCTGGTCCTGAAGGTCAGGTCTGCTAGAATAGACTGAGTCCAACACCTCTATACTGTTATGCTCAACAGGGCCCTCTGATACTGGGAGCAGGGTGGCAGGATTTAGGGTGTTACAGACTTCAATAGTTACGCGGGAATTTTCACACAGCAAGCTTTGGTACTTGGTTAATCTAGCATTTGTTAGCCAATGATGTCCTCTGGTATTCATCAAAGTTGCCACAGCATGGGGGGCCTTTATATTCAGGTTTTGCCCAAGGGTTAGTTCATCTGCTTCTTGTGCTAACAGGGCTGTTGCTGCCAGGGCCCTTAGAGATGGGGGCCAGCCTTTGGAAACCCCATCTAGTTGTTTTGAGAGATAGGCCACTGGCCTTGGCCAGGGCCCCACAGTCTGGGTTAAAACTCCAACTGCCATTTGTTATCTTTCTGACACATAGAGTGTAAAGGGCTTTGTCAAATCTGGTAGTCCTAGGGCTGGGGCCGACATAATTTTTTCCTTTAACTTAAAAAGACTTGCTGTTGTAGAGGCCCCTATTCAAAAGGCTCCCGGTCGTCCCCCTTTGTAACCCAGTACGAAGGTTTGGCTAGTACTGCAAAGTTTGGAATCCATAATCTGCAAAACCACAGCTCCTAGGAATTCCTTTACTTGCCTTCTGTTTTTAGGTTCCGGTAGGTTGCAGATGACCTGCTTTCTTTCAGACCCCAGGCTGTGCTCCCCTTTCTGAATAGTGAATCTCAGGTAGCGTACCTGCTGTTTGCAGATCTGAGCTTTCTTCTTGGACACCTTATACCCACAATCCTCCAGGTGCTGAAGCAGGGCTTCAGTCCCTTTTGTGCACCCGACTGCCGTGGAGTGTCCCGGGAGAAGGTCGTCCACGTACAGAAGCAAGACACAGCCTAGGTCTTTAGCAGGAAACTTTTGCAGGTCTTGGGCCAGGGCCTCCCCAAAAATAGTAGGGGAGTTCTTGAACCCTTGGGGAAGTCAGGTCCCAGTGCACTGAGTAGTGACAGCTGACTCTGGATCTTCCCACTGAAAGGCAAACGACTTCTGGTTCTCAGGAGCTATTTTGATGCTAAAGAAGGCATCTATTAAGTCCAGACAGGTAAACCAGCTGTCCTCAGCCAGCAGCAGTCCTAACAATGTGTAAGGGTTAGGAACTGTTGGGTGCAGAGTCACTGTAGCTTGGTTGACCAAGAGCAAGTCCTGTACTGATCTGTAGTCCTTGGTCCCTGGCTTAGGGACAGGCAGGAAGAGGGTGTCCCATGGAAACTGGCAAGGAACTATAATTCCATAGGCTTTCAAGCACCTGAGATGAACCTGGATTCCTTTGAGAGTTTCTCTGGTAACTGGATACTGCTTTTGTCTAATTGGTTGGGCCCCAGGCTTAACTTCTATGAGTACAGGGGTTTGGTTGACCGCCAGTCCCGGAGGATTATCCTCTGCCCATACTCGGGGCCATTGCTTAGCTAGAGCTGGTTTTATCTCTTGGCCTGGCTCAGTTAGAAAAAGTCTCCATTCTTCTTCCTGGGGGACCGTAAGGGCCATGATAACTCCTGTTCCCGGTAACTTTAGCTGTAAAGAGCCCTGTTTTGTAAAGGAGATGGTGACTCTCAGCTTGCTAAGCAAATCTCTTCCCAGCAAGGGCAAGGGACAGTCAGACATGTACAAGAACTGGTGAACTATCTCATGTCCCCCAACCAAGCCGGTCCTTGGTAAACAGAAAGCCTGCTTAGTGGAAACTCCTGTTGTTCTGATTATATCAATGGTTTTCTTGGATAAGGTGGCAACTGGGGTGGTCACTACTGAATGTTCAGCACCAGTATCAACCAAAAACTTAATGTCCTTTCCCCCAACTGTAATCCTGAATGCGGGCTCCTTGGGGGCACTTCAGCCTGGTCCCCTTCAGTCCAATAACCCTTCAGCCACACTGAACAAAGCTCCGTCGTCTTTATCTGAGGTCTTTTGTTCTGAACCACCTTGCTTTTCCTTCAGTTGGGGACACTTACTTTTCCAGTGTCCTATTTCCTTACAATAGGCGCATTGGTTATGTTGCAAGCATGGGTGATTAGACTGGGTATTCCTCCCAGAACCCCCCTTTCCCTCTCCTTTCAGGGGAATTCCCTTAATGGCCGCGGCCAGTAAGTTGGCGTTTTGCCTAGCCTGGTATTAGCCTTCCTTACGGCTTTCTCTGCGGCTTGTTGCATCTCTATTCACAAACACTTGATTTGCTATTTCCAGTAACTGTGAGGTATTCATACCCACAAACCCAGCCTGTTTCTGCAATTTTCTCTTGATACCTTCCACACTTTGACTAACTAAGGCCATGTTAATCATGCGCTGATTTTCAGGGCTATCTGGATCAAAAGGAGTGTATATACGGTAAGCCTCACAGTCTTTCATAGAATTGCACTAGACTCTCCTCTTTTCCTTGGATGACCTCAGAGACCATTACATTTGTAGCCTTTTCAGCCCCTTTCTTTAGACCTTCTATTAATGCCTCACGGTACCACCTTAGCCTCTCCATGTCTGGTCCCTCGTTCGGGTCCCATTGGGGGTCTATTCCTAGCAGTTGAATTCTTATATATTCTTGGGGGTTTTGGTAATCAACTGGGATGTGCTCCTCTAGCCACTTAGTTGCCACCTGGAGCACCCTTCGCCTTTCATCTGCATTAAAGAGGTACGTGAGCAGCTGGTGGCAATCAGCCCAAGCAGGATTATGAGTCTGTGTAATAGTTTGGAGCAAGTCAATTAAAGCTTGAAGCTTTTCAGTGTAAGATGGAGTATTGTTTTTCCAATTGAGATCAGCAGAGATGAAAGGTTGATACACAAAGGCACGCCTTTCCACCATGTGACCATCCTCATCTACCCCAGTATATCACTGCCCTCTCAGGGGTATTTGGGTTGCTGTCTTGGGCCATAAGCAAGCTGCCAAGGGATGAGTTTCTCCCACGGCTTCACTTCCTCTCTTGTCTACTCTGGGTGGTCTAGGGGTGTGGTTATCTGGTGGAAGTGTAAGTGCTGTGGGCTCAGGGATAGGGGAGCCCTTCCTCCCAACAAGGCGGGGGTATTGCTGGTACCAATTCCTGCCACGATTCTTCTGGTATTGGGTTGGACAGGACTTTTGGGGCCAACTTCCCTCAGCGGGTGGAGCAAGAACCTTCCTTAACTAACTGTCCCTTTGCTACTAGTACTGCTGCTGCCTGTCCTCTTAACCACTGTGGGGAGTGTCTAAAACTAGCTGTAACCAAGAATCTATATGTGGGAACTGATCTGGGTACCCTGGCTTACAGGCTACCATGTGCCATACCTTCAAGACAAGGGATCTGTCCAGGCATCCTTCTGATGACCAAGCCACCTCTAATGCTGGCCAGTCTATCTCACACAAAGTTCTAAGTTTTCCTGGTGTCATGGTGACTCCATAGTCTCCCTTAAATCCTTCTTTGAAATTTTTCAACATAGTTCCTAGTGGGGTGGGCTTACTTTGTGCCTGACCCATGTTTCCTCGAGACAAAACACCACACTCACACCACACGCACACCACAAAACAAAGGGTAAAAAGGGCACACACACACACTTTTACAGTTTACACCAAACCAGAACCAAAACCAAAATCAGAGTATCAGGAAATCTAAGCCAGGTCAAAACCAAAACCAAAGTATCAAGCAATCCAAGTCAAGTCAAAAACAAAAACCAAAGTGCCGGTACATGCACACTGTGGGTGATCAGGTCACGCTTCCACTCAAATGGAGTAGACAAGTTCCCAAGACCAGTCCTGTCAAGCAATTTAAACCAAGTCAAAACCAAAATGAAAGTGCCGATAAAGGCACACCGTGGGTGATCAGTCCATGTTTCCACTAGATAGAGTGGGCAAGCTCCTAAGACCAGTCCTGTCAAGCAATTCAAACCAAGTCAAAACCAAAACCAAAACCAAAACCAAACCTAAGTGCCAATAAAGGCACGCCGTGGGTGATCAGGCCATACTTCCACTCAAATGGAGTGGGCAAGTTCTCAAGACTAGTCTTACCAAGTTTCAGATGTCCAGACTCCAAGTACTAGTTCCTCCCTGGTGTTCAGCCACTGCGTTGATCCTCCATGGGGGCCTGCCACACATTGCTCTGGCAAGGTGTCCCACTGGGGCAAACGCCTACCCAGGAGTGCTCAGGATCCGTGTCACTCAGGCTGATCAGAGTCCCCTGCAGGGATGTTCCACAGGGCAGGCTTAAGTCGCCCAAGAAGCTGCCTCGACCATCCGCCAATCACCTTGTTTCCCGGTCAGGGAACCAAGAAATGTAGCAGGACGAGCAACAGACAAAACTCCTCAGACACAGAGTTAAAGAAGGAAGGGGTTTATCTGGCCGGGGGCATCAGCAAGACTCCTGTCTCAAGAGCCGAGCTCCTGGAGTGAGCAATTCCTGTCCCTTTCAAGGGCTTACAACTCTAAGGGGGTGCATGTGAGGGGGTTGTGATTGATTGAGCAAGCAGGGGGTATGTGACTGGGGGCTGCATGCACCAGTAATTAGATCGGAACAAAACAGGATGGGATTTTCACAGTGCATTTCTATACAATGTCTGTAATCTATAGATAACATAACCCTTAGGTCAGGAGTCAATATTTAACTACCAGGCCCAGGGTGTGGTGGCAGGCTGTCTGCCTGTGGATTTCATTTCTGCCTTTTAGTTTTTACTTGTTCTTTCTTTGGAGGCAGAAATTGGGCATAAGACGATATGAGGGGGTGGTCTCCTCACCTGAGTCACAAAAACATTAAAATTAGGCCAATTAATGATCGTATAATGGTCTCTAAGTGTTCAAGTAAAAAGAAGAGTCGCACATCTCTCACTTTACATCAAAAACCAGAGATAATTAAGTTTACTGAGGGATGCATGTCAAAAAAAAGGCCAAAAGTTAGGCCTCTTGCACCACTTAGCCAAGTTGTGAGTGCAATGAGAAAGGAAATACGCTATTCCAGTGAACAAATGAGTATAGGAAAGTGAATCAGTTTTATTGCTGATACAGGTAAAGAGTGAGTGGTCTGGATACAAGTCTCTTCAGCTCTATAAAGACCAAGAGAGATGAAGAAATTGCAGAAGATACCAGCAAGAAGTTGGTTCGTGAGGTTCAAGGAAAGAAACCGTCTCCATAACATAAAAATGCAAGGTGAAGCAGCAAATGCTGATGGAAAAGTTTTAGCAAGTGACCCAGATCTAGCTAAAATCATCCATTTAGGTGACTACACTGAACAGCAGATTTTCAGTGTAAACAGTTTCACTCTGGAGGATTTCCTTCCTTCCTAGGGAGACCCGCCAGCTCCCAGCCCTCAATATCCCTTCCATCTCCGGTGGACCCTGGCCGCGCCCTCTTGGAACCCTCTTCTGAGACCAGAGGCCACATCTGCCCACCGGGGGAGCACAGCCTCGGACGCAGCAGGGGACAGCACAACCCCAGTCGCCCGGCACTCCAGCCCCACATCTATGCTTTAGGCCCCCCGGCCTCAAATCCGCCCCTTTGCCTGCTCCAACCAAGGGAGCCCAGTACGCCCACCCAGGAACCCCCAAGGCCGGTGGTCTCCCCTTCCGCCTTCACAGCCAACTTCAGGGACGCCCAACCCCACCCTAGACCTGCGGAGTAGTCCAGAGAGCTGCAGGGTTCAAATTTACCAGGAGCGATGGCAGAGTGGGGCAGGGCATGCGCGGAAGGAACCCGGAAGCTCTTTTCCCTTGGTCCTGTGCTAGTGGCGTCATTGGAGAGAGACTACATTTCCCACCCGCCCCTGCGGTGTCCGGCCCACCCAGGGAGGAACTGTGTTAACTTCAGGGAGTCAGTTCTGCTGCAGTGTCCTGTGGCCTGAGGGTGAGGATTGCGCTCTCCATGGGACAGCAGGGTGGATTCCGCATGTTTTTGTTTTGAAGACGGAGTCTCACTTAGTCCCCTAGGCTGGAGGGCAGTGGCGCAATCTCGGTTCACTGCAACCTCCGCCTCCGGGGTTCAAGCGATTCTCGGGCCTCAACCTCTGTGGTGCTGGGACTACAGGCGCCCACCACCACGCCCGGCAAATTTTTGTATTTTTAGTAGAGATAGGATTTCACGGCGTTGGCCAGGCTGGTCTTGAACTCTTGACCTTGTGATCCACCTGCCTCAGCTTCCCAAAGTTCTGGGGTTACAGAAGTGAGCCACTGCTTCCAGCCGAATTCCGCGTCTTTATCAAACCCAGACTGGGACGCTGTGGGGAGGATGGAGAAGCGCCATGTGGGCGCAGCAGTGGGTGATATCCACCTTTAGCTACAGTTCTTTTTGTTAGCGAAAGGTACTGCGGTTATGGAACCCACATCTGCTTTTTGCAGGTGCATCCCAAAGCATTAGAATTGTGTCTGTCTTGTACTTTAAATTTGTTGACAGACAGAAAATTAATGTTAACACTGTTCGAACCTATTAAAAGATGTTTGTTCTCACCCAGTAAACTAATTTGTGAATCTTCAACGGGTCGTATTACACAGTTGGAAACACTGCTCTAGTATATAGACTACAATAAAAGAGCAGGTTCATAGGATGGGTGCACTCCATAATCCTTATGCCAGTTTACACTCCAGCATCTGGTAATTATTTGCCCATGAACTCCAAAGTTTCATCATTCCAGCTATCAAATCTTTAGTTATTTGGTTTGAGTGTGTAAATAAAACTATTATATATAAAGTTTCAGTGCCGCAAAAGAAATAGCACTCGAATATAAAATTTACTTTTTCTCAGCAAGGCAAGTTACTTCTATATAGAAGAGTGTGCCCTTACATATGGAACAATGGTGAGCGCACACTTGGACAAGGGAGGGGAAGGGGTTCTTAACCCTGACGCACGTGGCACCTGCTGCTGTGTCCTTCCCCTATTGGCTAGGATTAGACCGCACAGGCTAAACTAATTCCAACTGGCGAATTTAAAGAGAAGGACAGGGGTGAGTGCGTTGGCAGGAGTCAGGGCAGAGCAGGTAGCAGATAATTGGAATGAGTTAGGGTGGAGCAGGTAATTGGGAAAAGGTTGCTTTACGAGGAAGTTAAGTTTAAAAGTAGAAGACAAAGAATTGAACATACTGACATTCTTTGAAAAGAAATTTTGAGCTCATATCTAACAATCCCTCCCCTTGTACTTCCTTACAGCTTTGTTTTTAAACTTTTTTTTAACATGTCTTGGCTTGGTTGTTTTGCTTGATTTTTTAAAAGAAAAAGCTTCTCTGGATAAGGTGGAGGATAGTTAAGGGAGGTTTTAGTAAGTGCTGTTTTTATGAGCCTCTGCATCTACCTATGGATGCGTGGTATGACACAGCACCCGACAAGAATAAGTACACCTAGTATGGCTGCGAGGGAAGTAAGAATTGGGGCTGTAATTCCTTTCCATTTACCGAACTACTTTTTTTTTTTTTTTTAATTTATTCTAGCCATCCTGTAAAGGGGTCATTTACCCCTGAGTTGCTGGCTAACTCACTGGACAGAGCAGTCAGACCTTGTAATGCCTTTGTTATACTTCTATTAGGGGCAGGGTTGTTTGGGATGAAGGTGTAACATTGAGTTTTAATTATGACACAAACTCCCGTTTTTGCTAATATGTCTAAGGCTATCCTATTTTCCCAAGCCATCTGGCTAGTAGCCCCTAATTCTTCAGCTGTTCCTTTAACAGCAGCTCTAGTGTAGTTAATAAATCACTGTTGGTTGTAATAGACGTAGTTTATCCAATCTACATTTTTATTAACTGTCACCTACCAAAATATTGACTCAAATCCTGCAGCTATTTGATTTTGGGCTTCAAATGGATCCATTATTCCTCGTGGGTCTTTAATTGTGTCTAGATGTGAGAGCCAAAAGACTTAGAAGGGGCTTTTCTCTCTTTAAGATGTCTTATTTTTCTTTCCTCTGGTTGATGAAATGCCAGGGCGAAAGGGATACCCAATTGGACTAAAGCACAACTGCCACTCCAATTATTTGGCAGAGTATCCAGTAAAGGTCCACCACAACACCACCACACACACCCGCTCAGGGATGAACAAGGGCTGACTGATAAGCTCTTGAAAATTATTAAGCTCACTGCTTCCTTTCAGGTCTCCAAGGAATGCTAATTTTCCTCTCTGTCATGAGAGACACGAAGTGAACTTAGTGTTGGGAAAGCTGGATGGCCCTCAGGAGCTGACCCACAGTGGGCCGGATTTCAAGATATAGCAGAGGGAGAGCTTGGCACAACTTGTTACCCTAGGCTGTAGAATCTTGGAAAAGAGCTACCATGCAGCCCATGCCTGGTTTACTGGAGGGCCATCCTAGTGGAAAGGTGACAATTTGGGCCCCTGGCCTGCTGTGCACACAAGCATAACAATTGCTTTTGTTTAACATGTGGACAGAATATTTGATTCAGTGGCATTTACATTTTGGTATCCTGTCTCAATTGCCAAAGTTTGTTTCAAGTCTTTAACTTCTACCATCGCTATCTTGGTCTTGTCGTTATATGGAGAAGGAACAATGGTTCCGTTGTGAGAGGTTTTGGAAAAAGGTTTAGAGGCAGGTTCAGGAGGCGGGGG